AAAAGGGGAATCGGCCCTCACCCCAACAAAAAAGGAACCGATTCATGTTTTCACAAATAAACAACGGTTGTTAAAGAGTAACAAACACAGCGCTCGTGCAGCAGGATCTCATGTCGCACCTTGATTTCACTTTCAGTGGCACGTTTTACAGCCTATGAAAGGCCACAAGGTTCAGGGTTTCTTTTCGCACACATGGCAAGGGCATGACACTGGGAAGAAATGACCTTTGGGTTTATGTGTGCAGGCTGAACGCAAAGGTGTGTTTGTGAAACTCACAGCACTCGCCGTCAAAGGGAATCGACCCCCTCGGTCAAAAGGGAATAGACTCGACTTCAACAGCCTTCAATGGAGTGAATCATTAATTCACATCTTTTGTTTAATAATAGTGATGGGATGTCTGATTCACATCTGCAAACTTGTTCTTTCAGACTATTCTTTTCAATGAATCGGCAAAGAAAAAAACGATTGCAGATGCTCTTTTAAGCATTTCAAACAACTATGTCACAGTAGGTCTAACCGAAACACTGATTAAAAAGCTGTATGTGTGAACGGACATCATCTTTCATTCACTACAACTGAGATTTGTCGTCAGTGTCATTCTGTAATATTGCGCGTCAAAAAAACATACAATTAACAAATATTGATTAGGGCAAAGGGAATCAACTCCAAAACCCATCTGGGTATCAAACAGCCCTATTCGTACCAGGCCGCAGTAGACAATCTCTCCGGAGGCTTTCTTCATCTTCCTCAGCTGGGAGACGAAGTACCAGAAGCGAGACTTGGCCACCACATGGTTCGGGGCAAAGATCCTCATGCGGTACAGAGGGGGCGTGGGGTTTTTAGCAGAGGGCAACAGACGCCCAACAACCTTATACTCCCGAAGCTGCAGAGAGACAGAAAAACACATTCAGAGATCAATACAAAAATGACATTTTAGTTAAAATCCTACTTGGGAAACTGGAACCTGAAGACCTGACTAACTAGTACAGGTGTGACTGATTAGAGGAGGATGTAAACTTGCACTGGAAAAAAATATTTTTATTATTTAAGATAATCAGCGTGCATTAAGAAAACATTTTAGCCCTTCCACTTCAAAAAATAATGTTTAATTTAATATTACTTGCAATTTCTTTGTGACATTTACTAGCAATTAGCAATTAGCAATTAGCTAAGTTAAATTTGTTTCTACATTTCCAATGTATTAAAGGGGTCATATGATGCGATTTCAATTGTTCCTTTCTCTTTGGAGTGTTACAAGCTCTTGGTGCATAAAGAAGATCTGTAAAGTTGCAAAGACTAAAGTCTCAAATCCAAAGAGATATTCTTTATAAAAGTTAAGAGTTAACCACGCCTACCTAAAACGGCTCGTTCTAACACGCCCCCACATGTCTACCTCACTATGTGGGAAGATTTGCATAACGCCGCCCAAATGTTCACGCAAAGAAAGAAGGCGTAACTTTTATTCTCACTGTAGTATTGTTGACGCTGCAGCCATGTCCTGAAGACGCTGTGTGCTTCGTTGTGAAAGCGAAACTACTTTGTTTGGTCTTCCAAAAGAGGACGATATCTGCTTCGTCATGCCTGGAGCTGATCCGTGCTGGTCGCTGAGGAAATACAACAACTTTGCGCTGTGGATCGCAGGATCGGCTTTCACCGTGGACGAAGCGGAGTCCAGCCCGGGGTCGTCACATGTGGTTGCCGCAAGCCCTCCGGACGCTACTTCGTCAAATCCGCCGGCCGCGCCGTTCTCAAGCCCACCGCCTCTGCGCACTCTAGCCCTCCGTGTGTGACGCTGTTTCGTTGTGAAAGAGAAACTACTTTTGTTTGGTCTTCCAAAAGAGGACACGACTAGAAATCAGTGGTTAAGTTGTATTTACAACACTGTTCCAGAACAGTTCAACCCAAATATTCAGATGTGTGCAGCACATTTTATGGAGGACTGTTTTCTGATCCTGGGAGAGTAGACTACAATGCCGGCTGTTCTGACTCACAGACTGTAAGTACGTTTTTTATATTTAAAGGATTTGCCACTGATGATTCAAACACGAGTTTTGAGCAGTGTAGAGTAGCACTTGTTGTTTGTCATTTCTCCGATCACAAATGCAGACATTTGCAGTTTTATGTTTACGCGGCGCGATGCAACGCAAAGCGTAAAAAGACAGTACAAGTCATTATAATCCATAATTATGTCCCCACTGGATGCAACAAATGCCTCGTTTGTAATGGGTTTTAATGTTTATGTCTCGTCGCTCCGGCCGGACACGGCATCAACAGTATGGTGAGGGGCGTAACATTTCCGTCTCACGCTTGAGGTATTCGGCCAATCACAACGCTCTGGATAGCTGGCCAATCACAGCACACCTCGCTTTGTACAAATCGACGCGTTTCAGAGAGGCGGGGCATAGAGGAGAAATAATAATGTACAGTATGTGGAAAATAATGTGTTTTGAACCTTAAACCGCATAAACACATTTCATTACACCAAATACACAAAATAATGTTCTTTTTAGCAGCATCATATGACCCCTTTAACTCAAAGTTACAAAATAACCGAATCACTGCTAAATCAACCTAGAATCCGGGCACTTCTTGCGTGTAAATGAACCAATGAATGATTATCGCTCAGAAAACAAAGACAACCGCGGACCTCAAGCACATAAAACATTCTAAAACAAAAAAATAAATCGCTTGAGAGTGTGTTACACAGCAGATTAACTCAAAACCTGAGCTGTGTCATGTGTCTGTGTGTGTGTGTGTGTGTGTGTGTGTTCACTACGTTACCGAGCACATGGACTCACTCTACAGCCGCCATGTTTCTCTCTCCGCTACAATCAACGCGTCAAAAGCGAATTTAGCGCTAAACGTGTGTTGGGTGAAGTCACTGTTACGGATAGTTGGGTGCCTTATGTGTGTTTTCGGGTTATAACAGTAAGGTTTAAGCGACTGTGAAGTGATTTAAAAAGGATTTTACGTACTGTGCCAGACGCCTTCATGGTGTCTCTCGCTGACGGCCACTGTGAAAGAGGAAGCAGTAGGGCGGGAAATCCTGACGTCAATCCACTTCCGAAGGGCGGGTCTTACTGGAAGCGTTTTTATTGGTCACTCAGAGCCGTCAATCATATCCGTCACCGATCCTTTTATTATTCTTTTTTTTTTTTTCAAAAAACATACAAGGCATACAAGTCAAACTACAAAATACACGGTGCCATGCAATTCTGCAAATTACTTATTTCAATATAAGATATATTTTTATAACTACTTATTTCTAGTAGGCCTTCAACGAGTCAAAATATTTACAGTAGAGCCTAAAGGAGCTTAATGTATATGAAACTTCCCAAGAATTACCTTTATTGTGTTATTATCATTTATATTGGAGCCAGTGTTACTGTCCAATAGAGGATCACAGATTCGTTTATTCTAATTACTTTGTAAAAATGTTTTTAAAAAAATCATCGACACCTGCTTCCGAAAGTCTTTATTACAAAATAAATGTGTGAGAGATTCAGATTCAGAATTACAATATCTTCTTTAAACCTTTTAAGAAAAGCATTACATGGATTCTATCTATGCCATATTTTAAAACGAATACTTTGGCGATAAAAACGTTACTTGCTGACGATATTTCATCAATTATTTCTGAATTATTACATTTCTTATCCAAAAGACTAACGGCGATATTCAAGGGGGGGAAACTACATTACCCATGATGCTTCAGAGAAAGAGACTACTGCCGCCTGCTGGACACACACATAAAACGCATCTACGGCAGCAGCGTTTATTATATGAATTATTCAATTATGAAGCTATAAAATACGTCTGGGTGTGTAAGTCAAGTAAATTCATATTCATAAATACACGGGTGGGAAAGGAATAAAGCTCTGAACTCTTAAATGTGATGTGCATAGCGCATCTGCAGCACTAGAGGGCGCTGCTGTAATTACACTACCGTTCAAAAGTATGGGATGACTATTTTTTCTTTCTTTCAGAAAGAGCTTCTTTTTTTTTTTTAAAGAAATGATTGCTTTTATTCAGTTGAATTTATAAAAAAAAGTGATAATAAAGACATATTGTTACAAAAGGTTTATATTTTGAATAAATGCTCTTCTTTTGAACTTTTTATTCATTAAAGAATCCTGAAAAAAGTATCACAGGTTCCAAAAAAAAAAACATATTAAGCAGCAAGACTGTTTCTAACACTGTTAATAAATCAGCATATTAGAATGATTTCTGAAGATCATGTGACACTGAAGACTGGAGTAATGATGCTGAAAATACAGCTTTGATCACAGAAATAAATTATATTTTAAAGAATATTATTTGATTCTAGATCTCCAACAGATTCGCAACTTCCTGAGATCATAATTCAACACATGCATGTCAAAAATATGACAAGAGACGCTCTTAAGGCAAGACACTACAGGCAAACCAGTGTGTTTTCATGCACCGGTCAGTTTAGTGCTCTATTTTGCTGCTTCTTTAAGACTAGTGAACTGAAAACATCAAAAATACACATTTAAGTGTTTATTTTATTGCACTTTATCTTTTTGCGTCTGTTTATTTCAATTCCAATCCATTTCTTTAAAGAGATTTTTCCTCTTACATGCACCAAACGTTACAGTTTTATTTTTATCTATATTCTGAAGGCTTTAACTGAGGGGCTTGTTCATATATGTGACCCTGGAGCACAAAACCAGTCATAAGGGTCAAGTTTTTAAAATTGAGATTTATACACCATCTGAATACATTATACACCAAAGCTGAATGAATAAGCTTTCCATTGATGTATGGTTTGTTAGGATAGGACAATATTTGGCTCATACAATGTATTGTTGGCTATTGCTACAAACATACCCCAGCGACTTCAGACTGCTTTTGTGCTGCAGGGTCACATTTCATTCACGCTGAAAGCATGGTGAAAATTTATTTGTTTCATGTCTGTTGACAGTATTTTCTGATAAAAAGAGAAATCCAGAATCCCCTCCAGAAAAAAACCTTTAATGTGTCAAAAAAACCTTTAATAAATGTTCAGATTTATGTGCTGGAAATGCATGCAAAAAATGAGTGCATATTTGATTAGAGAATTAATTATGTGCATGTTTAATTAAAGTGATGCCTCATTTATGTATTTAAACAACATTTCAGGGAAAAATGGTTTGTAATTCTTAACGTAATCAGTCAGCTGGTGATGTATATTAAGGTTCAGCCTGTTCATCTGTAGTTTCTTGCCTTAATTTGTGCGGCACCATATCGAGTTAAAATCTGAATGAGAACAAAGCAAAGAAACAAATGACTGTGTGTTGAGTCCTCAGGAGACCTCGATGATTTCCATGCTGCCGGAGAAGCTGGACTGGCTGCTCCTCGTGCTCATCTCCTCTCTGGACCGGCTGTCCGTCATGCCGTCTATCTGGCAGCTCCTGCGCTTCAGCTGCTTCTCGAAGCTGCTCTCTTCGTGCCAGCTCCTGCGCGAATCTCCTCCGTCCCCGCTGCGCTGCTGCCTGCGTCTCCTCACCGCCTCCAGTCCCGGAGCGCAGCTGCCGCCGCTGAAGATAGCCGAGGTGGAGTAGAAGCGCGCCGACTCTGAGGAGAGGAACCAGCCTCCAGCCACGGGTCCCAGGACGATGTCCGAGTGCCAGCCTTTAAGCGCGCCCGGTGCCGCTTTAGACTGGTGCTGTGAGTGCGACGGAGCTCCATCCACGCTGCCGCTGCGCTGGAGCATCTTGTTAGCTTGATCTTCAGCTGGACTTTGCTCTGAAACCTCCTGCACCGGTGAGAACTGGCAGGGTTCGCTGACGGGAAACGCTCGCAGAGACGCTCCGGACTCGCCGTACGACTTGATGTCCAGGGAGAAGGAGTGTTTGGGCCGGACGTTCTCCTCCGGTTCCTCGCCGAGCTGAAGGCCGCAGAGCGCCCGGGCCAGCAGATGCTCCTCAGCCAGAACGCAGGGCATCGTCAGCGGCTCCAGCTTCTGCTCGTCCGACAGCGGACGGGGTTTGAGCGGCGCGGCGCTCGCGCTCTTCAGCTTCTTCTCAAAGTCCAGCAGCTGACCCAGGAAGCTGAAGTTGGGCGAGATGGTCGGCCGTTTCTCCTTCACGAACCTGCGAACGGACATGTGGTGAGGTCACAGTCACAGCTTGGAGATCGATCGGTAATTGCGACTTTTTATCTCACAATTCTGACTCTTTTTCTCGACATTGTGAGTTTACATCTCGCAATTCTGAGAAAAGACGTCGGAACTGCGAGAAAAATCAGACTTGCGAGAAAAAAGTTAGAATTGCGAGATATAAACTCGCAATTACGAGAGAAAAAAGTCAGAATTGCAAGATATAAACACGCAATTATGAGAAAAAAGTCAGAATTGCGAGAAAAAAGTCAGAATTGCAAGTAAAAAGTCAGAATTGCAAGATATAAACTCGCAATTACGAGAAAAAAAGTCAGAATTGCGAGTAAAAAGTCAGAACTGCAAGATATAAACTCGCAATTATGAGAAAAAAGTCAGAATTGCGAGAAAAAAGTCAGAATTGCAAGTAAAAAGTCAGAATTGCAAGATATAAACTCGCAATTACGAGAAAAAAAGTCAGAATTGCGAGTAAAAAGTCAGAACTGCAAGATATAAACTCGCAACTCGCAATTACGAGAAAAAAGTCAGAATTGCGAGAAAAAAGTCAGAATTGCGAGTAAAAAGTCAGAACTGCAAGATATTAACTGGATAAAATATAAAACAAGGTAATTGTGACTTTTTATCTTGTAAAAACAGGCTTCCAAAGTGAGCCACTCCAGGCAAAACAGAACCTTTTATTAAGCTAAAAGTACAAGTAATTTCTGTATTTCTTTTCATATAAGGATGATTTAATCTTTAAATCAACCAATTAAATTCAGCTCAACAAGTACTATGAGATTCATCCTTTAATTAATGCAGATTAGTAAAGGCTCACAGAATCTGCTGTTGTACCTGTACGCTTCATCTAACGACATGTCCATCCTCTTCATGATGTAAGCGATGGCGATGGTGGCCGAGCGAGAGATTCCCGCCAGACAGTGGACCAGGACTCTGGCGTTACTGGCCTTGGCTTTTTCTGACAGGAAACACACAAAAACACTTCCTGTCAGCTGACCTCCCACTCTCAGCATGGCCATCATTATTACTTCTACAGTCACATGATCGTGTCTGACCGATGAAATCTGTGAAAATTAATCTGGGAGAAATTAAATGTTTATAAAGTTCAAAACACTATAATTGCTAACTGGAAGGAAAACAAACTAAAACTGAACTAAAATAAACTAAAACCAAAATAAATTTAAAAAATGAATGAAACCTAAATAGTAATATATAAAAAAGCTGAAGCACTAAAATTATTAACTGTAAAATTAAAATAAATAAATAAATACTCAACTAAAACTGAAAAACAAAATGAAATTAAACCTAAACAGTAATATTTAAAAAGTTGAAGCACTAAAATTATTAACTGATATTAAATAAAAACTAAATCTGAACTAAAACTGAAATTAAATTAAACTTAAATAGTCATATTTTTTAAAAAAAGCTGAAGCAGCTAATTAATGAAAATTGAACTAAAATTCAAATGAAATCTGAAAATAAGAATAAAAGCTAATTAAAAATATTAATAGAAACTCCAAAGACGTGGATGGAACAACAAGGATAAGAAACTGATTCTTCTGGCAGCTAATAAAAAATTACAAAAAAAATGGTTAAAACAAGAGCCACAGCTGAAGAATGGATTGATATATTACGTAATATATATATATATATGTGTGATGGAAAAACTCTCTTCCTCTTTAAGAACCTACATAGAAGATTTTTTTTTATATATATATGGAGTAAATGCACTGATTATATTAAACCAATACGCTCAGACTTTTCCTGAACTGTCTTTAAGGTATTTTTTTTTTTTAGCTCCCCAGGTTCTATTGTATACAGTTGTTGTTAAAAGGAGGAAAATACATTTGAAGAGTTTGGTTCCAAAACGCCATTTTTTAAAATTTAGTTTCCACCAAAATCAGTATTGTATCTGGTCGGTACTGAAAAGTCCATTTTTAATTTTACGCAAAATGCGATATCCGCCGAGTTATTCTGTCATGTTTTCTCCCTTTTTTTCCAAACCGCGACAAACGCCAGTCTACCTTTTCTGCAGAATGCGATACGATATATCCGCTCAACCAATCACAGCACACCATTCCACGCACTGTAAACAGTAACAACCAATCACAGTGCACCATTCCACGCAC